CAAACAGCTGATTGGCTCAGCGCGGCAGCCATGTAAATTTAAATGAAGCGGCGATTATTTAAATCGCCGCTTCATTTTCCTTTGCCGGGTAGTCTAATCTACATGCCTCTGGCGACAGAGGCAGTCTAGATGTACCCCAAGTCTGCTTTCCAAGTCATACATATGTGGGAAATTTTGTTATTTTAAACTTATTGCAAAAGTGAAAGACTTGACTTCACTGCTTGAAAAGGGACACTGTAAAAAGGAAAATTGAAATAAAAAAACCTTATTGATGTTTCCAATGAGAGTGTTACAATGGAAATAATTTTTAAAATCTACTACTCAAGATTTATTCTGCCAATTTCCCTTTTTTTCATTTCTTTAATATTGAACAATGAATCTAGATAGTCAGTTTCACTATTGTTCAGTCTGTCACTTGCAGTAACCAGTACAGCAAGATTATGGTTTCTAGTAATGCAGGGGGATCATTGAATCCACTCTCCCCTCTTGTTTTTTCCAGTGATTTTTTTTTAAAGTCTATTCATAAAGGGTTTTGGGGGTTCCTACTAAAAAAGAGAACTTAAGTTCCCCCCCCCCAATCATTTGCATTTATTTAAGTAGCAATTTCTTGTATTATTCCTCCAAGACCTCTGTAGATAAATCAGTTATGGCAACTTCAGATTCGGTAATAGTCATATGGAGTAACATTCAGGTGAGTAAATCATGGAAGTCCACTCAGTAGTCCTATTTGTGAATAAGGGTGAAAAATCTGGCCCAGTGAATTCAGGCCTGTGTGAGGCTATGTCTAGACTGCAGGTTTCTTTCAGAAGAAGCTTTTCCGGAAGAGATCTTCCAGAAAAACGTCTTTTGAAATAGAGCGTCCACACAGCAAAAACCGCATTGGAAAAGCAATCTGCTTTTTTGAAAGATAGCATCAACTTTGATTGGACACTATCTCACATTTAAGTTGTGATTACTGTGGACAGAGCGGCTACCAGGGCACCTGTGCTTTTTCCTGGAGGCCTCTTTTTTCAGGGAAAAAAAAAACCCTCTTTCCCATCCACACACGCCTTTTTCCGAAAGAGTTCTTTCGGAAAAAGGCTTTTCCCCCGTAGAAAGAGGTTTACCGGTGTTGGAAAACCCCCTCTGTTCTTCTGACTTTCTGTCAAAAGAACGCAATTGCAGTGTGGACATAAGTGTGTTTTTTCTGGAGAAATGACCGTTTTTCTGGAAAAACTCTGCAGTGTAGACATACCCTGACTGTTGGAGGACTCTGCTGCCTTTCTGTATGCTTACAGCTGCCACTAGAACATTTCTGAAAGTGGGTAGCTCACTACTGAAAGGCTCTGATCAACTAATCACTGGTTCAGTGACAGGAACTCCAATTACTCACGCAGTTCTCAGAAAAAGCAAAACCATTTCTATGAAAGGTGAGACACATTATTATAAAGCCCAGCAGGAACATTACTAGGAACCTACCAAATTAGTCTTAACAACTGCATCTGTTTGCTCAACTTCAGTCAAAATACATATACACAGAGCTGTTTGGCTGCTAAAAGCTTTCTTTGTATCTCTCTCTCTCAAAAAAAAAAAAAAGCCTGATTTTCATGGTTAATGTTAGTATTTTGCAGTCTCTTCGCCTCAGTTTCATTCCACTCCTGCCCTCTCCCCCTCAACCCTTTCCCTTCTCTTTCCAGGTTGCTTTCCCCTCCTAACTAAACTCCTCCCTCACTCCCTGCCTGCAAAACAATTAAACTGAGGAGCCTATGTTCTACTTGTGTATTCCATCCCTTCCCCCACTCTTTGCCTGTTATGTCTGTTTAGACTAATTTCTTTGGACTGTGTACTATGCTGTTTGTGCAATGTCCAACCACAATGGGCCCCTTTCTTGACTGTTCCTAGGGCACTATTATGACAAACAGAAAATAATCTGCCATCATTTCATGCTCTTTGGTCATTTTCGTATCTCAGATCACGCCCTCCTTTAAAGTGTTTGAGAAACAAAAGAGCCATCCTTGGTACAAACAGTACACATTCCAAGAGAAAAACATACGGACTGTTTGAAATGCATTCACAGTAAATGCTGTTTTCATAGAACTATGGTTAATGTGTTTGTACAGTACGCCTACAAATAAAGTAGCTGCCAAGTGCACATTTTCTTAAATACCCAGAATTTCAGGACAACCATTAAGTGAAGAACCTGGTGATACTGTCACTACCAAATTGAAAACACAACCTTGCCTGTGTTGTTTACATTTTCAGTGTCTCTTTAGCAGATGGATCTTGTTTCTGTAGTCCCAGATAAATTTATTTGGAGCAATTCCTTACTCTTTATTCCTTCCTTCCTTCCTGTACTAACTGACCAAATGCTCACGTATATTTTTCTTGTTAAATCCATGTAAAACTCTACTTTTTCTTTGCACTACTCCAAATCAGCAGGGAACCCTGTGCAAACACTTTTTGTGCATTTAATTCAGCTGTGCCTCAGTAACATACGATGTATTTAACAAATATTTTTGTTCTTGCAGGATTACACATTAGATGTGTCCCTGTGTAAACTGACAGTGAAACAGCTTTGATTTTTCTAGCATACAGAGAGAGTTGGATGCTGAAGCTGAAGCTATGCGTGTGTCCCAGCAGGACTTGCTTTCAGTTAATGAGTCTGTTTACACTCCGGATTCTGATGTCACCTCACCAGCTATCAACAGAAACCTGATTCAGAAGGCTGGCTACCTTAATCTTAGAAAGTAAGGATAGACTGCCTTGTTTGTCTGTTGCCAGGTGGCTGATTTCTGCATTATCTCTACCAGGCAAATTCTAGGAGTAAAATTTTCAGAAGTGCTTGAATGCTTTCAGAGCCACATCTCACTGAAAGTTAGGGAGGGTAAGACTCAAATGATTTAGGCGTTTTTGAAAATTTTATCTTTCAGTTTCTAAATCACCTTAAAGTGGGATTTAGAAGCCTAAGACATTTAGGGGCTTTTGAAAATCTTCCCCTGTGTGGGTTTTCCCTCTTCTTGAATTCACTTGCAAGCCTGAATTCATGCATTTGAGAGTCTAAAAATGAAATGTGATGTTGGATTGAGCTCTGCAGCTCATTGGAGTCTCGAAGACTTGGGACCAGGAGGTTGTGTCTCTGTTATAGGTGAATGAAAATGCAGTACTGCTTACAAGGAAGAGCTAGATTTTGTACTTGATATAGATTTTAGGGCTTTTACCACATACTTCTCATTACACTGATAGGAGTTGAATAGAGAAACCAGGTCCATAGAATTGAGCATAAACCACACTGGAATTCAATCCTACAGAGTTATTTTACTGAGGATTTCAGTGGGAGTTCTAGAGTTATGGAAGAGCAGCAAAGGTAGATGAGGTCTGATTACTGTGTCTTCAAAGTAACTTAAATGTCACTTTCCATTTAATTTGAACAGTTTGTGTTTGTTAACTGGATTACAAATATTGTGGTTTGACAGGAGCATAAGAAATGGGTTACCACATTGCATAAATGACTTCATAGAAGGATGTATTTTCAGTATAAGATTCTACTTGTAAAAGTGTAATTTTTCACAATTTATGCCCATTTGTGTTGAAATTTCTGTTGTTTCTGCTCTCACAAGTACAGTAGAACCTCAGAGTTACGAATTGATGGGTGAACCACACACCTAATTTGGAACTGGAAGTTCACAAACAGACCGCAGCAAAGATGAGACACACAAAAAAGGACAATACCCCCCCACACACACTCCTGCCCACAAACCAAACCCCGAATACAATATAGTACTGTTACTTTTTTTTCTTTTAATATTTGACAAGGTAGGGAAACTGTTTCTGTGTTTGTTTGAATTTAAAGTCAGATGGTTAACAGCAGTATTTTCTTTCTGCGGAGCATAGTTTCAAAGCTATCTTAAATCAATAGTCAGTTGTAAACATTTGGAAGAACAACCAGAACATTTTGTTCAATTATGAACAACTTCCATTCCCAAGGCGTTCATAACTCTGAGGTTCTACCATATCTCCTTTTTTTTATAGAGTATGATTACATCCCATGCAGCCTTATTTCATTAGTTCACCATAAACCTTCTGCTGTACCATAAACCTTTTGCTGTTCAGTAGTTAGGATGAACTGCAGATGACGGCTCATTTTAAACTGGGATCATTGAAAACCAATTAACCCTTCAGCTTGCCTTAAGGATAAGTTTCCTCTGTGGACTGGTATCTTTGACATGTTTGTTGAAACTTGGTTTACAGTTAGCAAAGATCCGTGCTTAACAATACGGCTCATCTCTGCATCTGCAGCAGGGCTTGCTCAGAGTTTGGCAGGGGTGGGTTCAGATCCAAAATAATTTAATTGGGAGTTATTTTTAAATATAAATACTATGTTAACTAGTCTTGATATTGTGTGTTCCCTATAGTAAAACAGGCTTGGTGACTACAACCTGGGACAGACTCTATTTCTTCACTCAAGGTGGAAACCTGATGTGCCAGCCCAGAGGAGCAGTAGCCGGAGGACTGATTCAGGACCTGGATAACTGCTCTGTAATGGCAGTGGACTGTGAAGACCGACGATACTGCTTTCAGATCACCACGCCTACAGGCAAATCGTATGGGCCACATATTTTCTGTTAGAGAGCTACAAATCATGTTCAGTGTACCAAATGGAGCTTCAGAATGCCTGTTCACCATGTTAACAGAGATTCCTAGGAATGGCCATTGTAACTAAGCTGGATTTCCAGCATAACTCTGACATACAGGAAAATCATATTGTTTGGACATTTAAATCAAGTGCCCCCATTGCATAAATGACTTGTGTCATTTAGGAATAGGGTGTTCACACAACTTGGGGGCTGCTGGCTGCTAACAGAGGAGCACAGTTTAGTTGTCTGAGTGCAGGACTTTAGTGTCAAGTATTACTGAATAACGCCAGTTCTGCCATTAAATGCCTCTGTCGATTTATGATAGCTCAGTTGTGTGTGCACTAAGGCTGTGTCTAGACTACATGCTTCTGTCAGCAGAGGCATGTAGATTAGACACATAGGCAAAGCCAAATGAAGCCGCGATTTAAATGATCGCGGCTTCATTTACATTTACATGCCTGCCGCGCTGAGCCGACAAAGAGCTGATCAGCTGTTTGTCGGCTCAGCATGGCAGCCATGTAAATGAAGTCGCGATCATTTAAATCGCGGCTTCTTTTGCCTTTGCCAAAACAATAAATCTACATGGCTCCGTCGACGGAGCCATGTAGATTTATTGTTTTGGCAAAGGCAAAAGAAGCCGCGATTTAAATGATCGCGGCTTCATTTACATTTACATGCCTGCCGCGCTGAGCCGACAAAGAGCTGATCAGCTGTTTGTCGGCTCAGCATGGCAGCCATGTAAATGAAGTCGCGATCATTTAAATCGCGGCTTCTTTTGCCTTTGCCAAAACAATAAATCTACATGGCTCCGTCGACGGAGCCATGTAGATTTATTGTTTTGGCAAAGGCAAAAGAAGCCGCGATTTAAATGATCGCGGCTTCATTTACATTTACATGCCTGCCGCGCTGAGCCGACAAAGAGCTGATCAGCTGTTTGTCGGCTCAGCATGGCAGCCATGTAAATGAAGTCGCGATCATTTAAATCGCGGCTTCTTTTGCCTTTGCCAAAACAATAAATCTACATGGCTCCGTCGATGGAGCCATGTAGTCTAGACGTACCCCAAATGTGAATACTGACTTACCTACCTCACCGTGCTGTGCAGGCTGAAGTACTTGTCAGTATCACTACCATTAGTGCAGAGCAGGAGTCCAAAATAACCCTGTGATTAAGGCTGTGACAGGCGTGACTTTTTTTGTTGCAGAACTTGCAGCTGTGGTTTAAAACTGCAGTGTTCCGCGTGGTCCATTCATATACCACAGAACACATGCACACAAAAATAGAAATAGGTACATGGCCACGCAAGCTGCAGCACCTTCTGCCAAGGTATGCAGCCTGCCTTTCCCAGCAGAGCAGAAGCCCCCAAGAGACAGAGTCCCCTACCTGCCTCTCAAAGCCAGCATGACAGATGGGCAGCTGGGTCAGGCTTACAAAACTGACATTGCAGCTTGCAAAACTGAGTCAGTGATATTGCAACCTGGCGCACACAGTTGCAACACCACTCAAATGCATGGCAGCTATAGAAAGCTGTGGTGTGTATTTCAAAGTTGCCATTTGCCCAGTGAAATCATGGCTTTTGAATTTCTTACAGCCTTACTTATGATACAGAATCATAGTAGTTAAGTGAATTTGAGATTTGAGTCCACCCCCTTGAAACTGTGTTTGAAGGGAGAATGAATGCATGTATCATTGTTAGAAGAAATACAAATGTATTTGTGTTTTAGGGGGATAACCCTTCAAGCAGAGAGTAAAAAAGAATATGAAGAGGTAAAATATTTAACAGGTTAACATTTTTACTCTCTTATACGCTAAAAAGTTTGGAGCATTCAGTTTCTTTTCTCCATACAGTGGATATGTGCAATTAACAACATCTCCAGGCAGATCTATCTCACCGACAATCCAGAGGTGAGAACTTGCTTGTTTTTCTCTGTTCTTTCCAGCTTGTGCTCTCAGTGTATTATAGAGCTCGTAGCATGACTGTCGGGGTGACATTTCATTTTATTTTGTAGGCTGTTGCAATCAAGTTAAATCAGACGGCCCAGCAGGCAGTGACCCCCATCACAAGCTTTGGAAAAAAACATGAAAGTTTGCGTCCCAGGTAACACTTTTACTTTCCTGTCGGAGTGAGTTTCCTGTTGCGCAGTTAGACTCCACTCATAAGGCAAGAGAGGTGAGGGAAGGCCTGACCTTGCAACTCTGTCCATTCCAGCAGATCCCTGTGCGGGAATCCTAGTGAAGGCAGTGGGGTCCCCTATGAGTTCAGGGCTCTGCTGCATGCAGTCCAGCTTGCAGGATCAAGGCTCTAGCTACTTCCTGTTTTAACATAGAATCATAGAACTGGAAGGGACCTCAAGAGGTCATCGAGTCCAGCCCCCCACCCTCAAGGCAGGACCAAGCTCCACCTACACCATCCCTGACAGATGTCTATCTAACCTGTTCTTAAATATCTCCAGAGAGGGAGATTCCACCACCTCCCTTGGCAATTTATTCCATGCCGCTGGGGTTCCTCTTAATGCATTTCTTATGAAACAGACACCGTACTTAGATTGTAAACTCTTTGGAGCAGGGACCATTTTGCTATATGCTTGTATAGTGTCTAGAACATTAGGGTCCTGATCCCTAATTGGGGGCCTGTGAGTGCTCTCACCTTCAAATTAAAAATAAGGTTTTTGATGTAGACTGCTGCCTTGCCCTATTCCTGTCTGTACTCTGAAACCAGCACAAAGAACAGCCTTGTAGTGTTTACTGGGTCTGATCCTGGACCCATTCAAGTGAATTGTGAAAGCCTCTGTTCCCCAACAGAGGTTAATAATCAAGCTGTGTGTGCTTGGACTTAAAAAAAACATATTCCATTGAATTTCTCTTCCCCTTGCTTGAGAAATCCAACCTCCTGAACAGCAAGAACTCCTTGGTGTGACTGGGATCTAAAGCCAACTCCAGAGAATCACTATAATCATCCCACAAAGCAGAACACTAAATAAAATAGAGCAAATTAGAGGAGACTCTTTATCAGTCCTTAATGGTAGAAACTTCTGCATGAGCTTTATATACAGTCCTGCCAGGATTTTTACAGTACATGCATTTCCTACTGGCTTGTGCATTTCTAACCTCTAACCTTTCAAAGGTTTCACCTCTTCTCCCTCCAAACTGACCTCCAGCTAAAAACTAGTCTTTCCTAGTTTACTGTGATTCTTTAGAGATCTCTATAGGCTCCCACAAACCACAGGGAGTGCCAGTCAAATGAGACAGAGAGAAGGTGGGTGAGGAATATCTGTGGCTAGAAAGCTTGTCTGTCTCACCAACAGAGACCAGAAGAACAGAAGTTGGTCCAGTAAAAGCTATTACTCCTACTTTTTCTCGCTCGTCTCCTGGGACCGACAAGCAAATATGCAGTGTAGTTGTAGCTTTCTCATTTCTCAGGAGTTGGGAATTTTTGGTCAAAGTATGATGCACTGGGTGATTTAATAATGAATAACTAGGGAGAATATCTGCATCAAATTTTGCTACATGGAAGCAAAATTCCGTATTCAGGGTACAAACAGAAAATCTTGCAGGAATGAAACTAATCAAGATTATGCTACCCAAATAAATAGGCATAAATATTGGCAGGTGATTTCTGAAGTTGCAGGAAATTCAAAAGCAAGTTCCATGGTCTGATGAACTCTGGAAGGAAGAACCAGGGATGAATAAAACACACAATTTGCCCTTGAGTTTTGCAACAAGCCTGTGACCATCTAAGAACTTGGTTGTTGTTGTCATGTCCGTTCTCTTGCCATTTGGGAAGATGGGTAGTTCAAATCTCTGCTCAATAAACAGGTCTCCACTCCTTGAGCTATGCAGTGCTGATTATAACCAGTAGAGGGTATTGTTACACACATCATTCTCTATGGTAACTTGTAACCAAGAGCAGGCACCTCAGATCATTTAGAATGTTCCCCTTTTCACTGTGGCAGTATTTTTTCCACTAGTAAGTCATTTTATTTGTGACAATGAAGAGAAATTCAGTCAATAGCCTGAATGACTTGTTAATATTGCAATTTAATTGTTCACTGGCCCAAGAAATCACTGGTTAATTCTCTCTCCCCCAGATTTGATTTAACATGGTCTTCCTTACAATGATAGATTTTGAATGAAAATGTTTCTCCATTTTTCACTGCAGCCAGAACGTGAAGACTGTGGAGGAGGAGAGAGACAAGTTCATCCCGAAAGAATCATCCACCAAGTCCAATTGCACAGAGTTAATTGCACCTGGAACACCAATTCAGTTTGACATGGTACTTCCTGCAACTGAATTCCTGGATCAAAACCGAGGTGGCAGGTACAGCCAGCAACTGTTCAACATTTTTGACCAAATACTTTGGGTGCGTCTAGACTGGCAAGATTTTGCGCAAAAGCTGCTGCTTTTACGCAAAATCTTGCCAGCTGTCTAAACTGGCCGTGAGAATTTGCGCAAGAACATTGATGATCTAATGTAAGATTGTCGGTGTTCTTGCACAAGAACTCTGACGCTCCAGCTCAGGAAAAAGCCCTCTTGCGCAAGTGTTCTTGTGCAAGAGGGCCAGTGTAGGCAGGGACAGGAATTTTTTGCGTAAGAAAGCCCTGATGGAGAAAATGGCCACCAGAGCTTTCTTGCGCAAAACCACGTCTATACTGGGCACAGATGCTTTTGTGCAAAAGCAAATCTTTTGCGCAGACGCTCTTTTGCGGAAATACTCCCCCTTCCGCTGGGAGGGGTTGCAATTGCTCTGGAGGATAGGGTCATAATTCAAAATGATCTGGACAAACTGGACAAATGGTCTGAAGTAAACAGGATGAAGTTTAATAAAGACAAATGCAAAGTGCTCCACTTAGGAAGGAACAAGCAGTCTCACACATAGGGGCTACGTCTACACTGACCCCTTCTTCGGAAGGGGCATGCTAATTTTGAACTTGGGAATAGGGAAATCCACGGGGGATTTAAATATCCCCCGTGGGATTTAAATAAACATTGCTGCCGCTTTTTTTCCAGCTTGGGGAAAAGCCGGAAAAAAGCGTCTAGACTGGCGCGATCCTCCGGAATAAAGCCCTTTTCCGGAGGATCTCTTATTCCTACTTTGAAGTGTA